GATGTCGATATACGGGGTTGACCTATGTCTCTTTCCCTTAAACCGGATATACAGAAATTTTCGTTTTGAATTTCGGATATAGATATCCGGGGATTTCCCAGGAGTTGCCTTTCCCAATCTCTCACCTATCCCAATAATCCAAAGAGATTTAATAGGACAGAGAGATTTTTAAAAATATTTAATTTACATTTAGGGTAAATTTCAAATATTTTCAAACAATTACAGTCGTGGAAAAAAGTATGGAAGCGCTAGAAAATTTTTTCTTAATTTTTAATTTTTCATTCAAAAAATACGTTCTATATATCAATCGAAAGCTCTATTCGTATCTCAGTTGACATGTTTCTGCATTTTTCATGAAAATGAAAATTGGCCGAGATAATCCGGATCTACCGGATATACCAAATCCCATTTTTTCGGAAAAATTTTTCGGAACAAATTTAACAAACCCAAATGATAAAGCATATTTTTCTGAGTATTTTCCACAAAGCCGCTTAGAAATATCTTTTTCCGGAGCAGAGATATGATTTTTTGAAAATTGCATTTTTCGTCTATTTTTGCAAAAAATTCAATTTTTAAGCGAAAAATGCCATTTTCAAAAAATCATATCTCTGCTCCGGAAAAAGATATTTCTAAGCGGCTTTGTGGAAAATACTCAGAAAAATATGCTTTATCATTTGGGTTTGTTAAATTTGTTCCGAAAAATTTTTCCGAAAAAATGGGATTTGGTATATCCGGTAGATCCGGATTATCTCGGCCAATTTTCATTTTCATGAAAAATGCAGAAACATGTCAACTGAGATACGAATAGAGCTTTCGATTGATATATAGAACGTATTTTTTGAATGAAAAATTAAAAATTAAGAAAAAATTTTCTAGCGCTTCCATACTTTTTTCCACGACTGTAATTCTTCCATAAATTTGTTGAATATATTCTTTAAAAGAATAATTTGTACACAAATTTTGATAATATTTACAACAAAAAATAATCTTTTCTTCTTTAATTAAGCATAAATTTCTATATTTTTGTATAAAATTATTTAAATTATTTTTTGATGAAAATTGGGATAATTCATTTAATTCTAATTTATTTGAATCTGAAGGGCAATAATTAATTATTTTTGCAATCTAAAAATTAAAAAAATTAATTTTAAATTAATTTTGAAAAGTATGTCCGGGCGCGATACCGATACGGCGCCACCGCTTGTAAAATAGCCTAAAGGTAGCCTAAAATTGTGAAATTTTATAAAAAGAAATCCTCAAACGTAGTATCTAAAATTGCCAAAAATTTCAGAATTTTTGGTTTTATATTTCAGAAGTTCTGGTCAAAAAATCAGAATTTTTGATTGAAAATGCCCATTTTTAGCAGTTTTTTGACCAGAATTGATCAAATAATAAACCAAAAATTCTGAAATTTTTAGAGAAAGTGGAAAACAATATTGAGAATATAAGAATAAAATTTCAAGATTTTAGGTTTTAAATGGACAATTCTATGGGTAATTTAGTAATCCAAATTTTCCCAATTTTTAATTAAAATTTACATTTCTTAAAGCAATTAAAGAAGAACTTTGCTGTCTCAATCCAATTAAATTTGTAAATAAAACAACGTTAAAAGTCGAAGAATTTAATTTTTTAAATAAAGCATCAGATTTTGAAGGACTTTCGCCGTCTAAAAAATTTAAAAAAATATTTGGAAATTTTTTTGAATGAATTAAAGGGAAAATATTTTTAAATTATTTTTAAATGTAGGGGTATGTTTATTTTGATTTTTTTTTATTTTAAAAATATTTTCTAAGGAGATAACCCAAAATTAATAGAAAAAATTTTGTTAAAAAAGTTAAACAAAATAAATATTCCCCCAAAACTTTTAATAAATCCCTCCTACATATCTATACAAAATTTAAAAAATTATTTAGATATTACAAAAATAAAATAAAATTAATTAGATTTCATCTAAAATTCATAAAAAAATCAAAAATAAAAGAAAACACAAAAAAGGGTACGAACCTTCCCCATTTTACGCCAAATTCAAAACCTATACCACTACACCACCAACAATATAACCTAAAAATTTTAAAAATAAATATCAAACTCACCGTCAATTTCAATTTCTTTAACAATTTTATCTTCAAAATTCCCCAAACATTTATTAATCCAATCAACTACATTTTGAGTTTTTTGTGTTGAATTAATTTCAAATGAATCAATTTTTAATAAATTATTTGAATTTAAAGAATAAATATTTAATTGATTTAAAGAAATATTTAATGTTGAACTAATTGTTTTGTTTAAAATTAATCTAAAAAAATTTCTAATTTTAATTAAAAAATTTTTTTCTAATCGAGAAAGTCAAAGGAAATTTAATTTTAAATTAATTTAAGATTCAAAAGTAGAAAAATTAGTAAAAGGGACATGAAAGGAGTCGAACCTTCCCTATTCGTCAAAAGAAATCAACAATTAATCCGCTACACCACCAAATATGCTAATTAAAATCTAAATAGGTAGGATAAATAACTTTAATTAGGAGACATTAGAGTATCAATTTCAATTTTTAAATTTTCTATTAAAATTTAAAAATTAATTTAAAAAATATTTTTAAAGAGAAATTAAATAAAATAAATTAAAAGGGGAGGGAAAAAATTTTAAAAATTAAAAAAAACTGTTCGAGTTCTAAAATTTTTTAAATATAATTTTTCAATAAAAGTAATTTTATTTTAAATAAAATTAAAATTAAAAATATTATTTTAATTAAAAAATAAAAAAAAAATACCCAAAAGCCAAAGAAGCCCTTCTATTATTTAAATAATAAATTGAATTAACAAAAACACTGTAAGAACGAGGTAATTGAAAGGATATTGACTTAAAAATAAATTTAAATTAAAAAAAATAATTTTTTTAAAAATTTACATTAAATTCAAAATGTCCAATTACAACAAATTCAAAATTTAAAATTAATTTATTTAAATTCTCTTCAGAATTGACAATATTAAATGGAAATAATAAATTAATTATCCAACTAAAAAATTAAATTTTAAATTTAAAAAAATTTTAAAATTATAGTTTCAATCAGGCCCGTAGCCAGGAGAGGGTAAGCCCTTCTAAAATTCTCAAAAATTTCGACTGTGGCACTAAAAATTAAAATTTTGCCAAAAATAATTTTTGGAATAATTTTTATAATTTTTTTATTTTTTTTAAATAATTTCCAAAAAATCAAAGCAGAATAATTCCCCCCCCCTCCTCCCCCAGAAAAAATCCTGGCTACGGGCCGGACCTCGATTTTAAAATTTAAAAAAATTTAGAAAAAACCTGTAAAGCCTTTCAGAAGACAAAAATTGATTAAAAATAATTGGTTGGTTATATTGTGTTTGGGCAAAAATAACAGGGAAAGCCAATAATTTATACATAGATCTACATCTTCCTTTGTAATAATTACAATTTACAGCAATAAATTTTATCTTTAAAAATTAAAAATATATTAATTTTGAAAAGACGCAAAAATACAAAATTTACTATCTAAAATTTCAAATAAATTTTTAAAAAATAAATTTGTTTTTTATTTTTGAGAATGCTGGACTTTAATTGAAATCAGTATTCTTAATAAAATACGGATTTTGTTTCAAAAATTTTTCTAAAAAATGCTGATGTGAATTAAATTTTTTTTTAAAATTAAAAAAATTTTTTGAGATTCCTATAAATAAAATACAGATTAATTCATTTCAGCACTCTCAAAAACCCCTTTGAAACGAATTTTTTTACCAGAAAACTAATAATTTTTAAAAATAGGGGGACTCTCGAGTATTGCCAAAATTTAAGAAAAAAAATTTAAATTAAAAAAAACCTCATTAATTTCTTTAAATAAACCCGCAACATAAAGAAAAGAAGACCGAAATAATTTACATCTAAAATCCCATGGAGCATATAACATCTAAAAAAATTAAATTTAAAAATTAATTCAAAATTTCCATTAGAGTCTGAAATTTGTGGGGAGAAGAATACTCCTCTCCCCAAATTTCAGACTCCAACTAACCACAATTGTAAATTCAGCATTAAATCTCAAAGTTTCAAATTCGGAAATATTTCCATCATAAAAGTCTTTTAAAAGGCCTTCAGAATTTTTAAAAAATGGAGAAGGTAAAGGAGCTTCTCTATCCGGGAAGGAAATTGCAAAAAATCTGAAAAAAGGGCAAAATTAATTTAATAGAAAATGGTCGGTTGAGTGCCAATTTTGAGTGTGTAGAAATTTTTGGAAATTTTTTTAAATTTTTTAAAATCAGAAAAACAACAAATTTTATATCATCCGAAAGCTCTAAAAGTTTGGAGTATTTTATCTAATAGGACCAATCCTATCTGTTCAGTTCTAAAAATGTTACGGGCAAATAAATGAAGGTAAACGTGATTTTTACAAGAATTCGGCCCTATCTGAATAAGAGGGCGCTTTGATTATTTTCATCATTTTTTTCCTACGTCAAATTATAAATAATGGTCAGTCTTTTCTTCCTCGTTCGATTCCACTCGTTTTACCTGTGGCATATTCAAATGAGATGACAGACAAAGCACACACACGGACAGACATAACACGAGTGTTTTCTGTCCGAGTTTTGTCTGCCTGTGTTCGTCTGTGTTTTGTCTGTCTATCCGAGTTCGTCCGTGGTCAGTCTTTTCTTCCTCTTTGAATCCGTCCATGTTTTGTCTGTCCTCTCATTTGAATATGCCACAGGTAAAAAGAGTGGAATCGAACGAGGAAGAAAAGACTGACCATTATTTATATATTAAGGTAGGAAAAAAATGATGAAAAAAATCAAAGCGCCCTCTTATTCAGATAGGGTCAAGAATTCTGTTTATTCTTCAACAAAAAGATTTGGTAGAAATTTCGGCTAGAAAAATTTTTTTAATTTAAAAAATTGGTTAGAACCACCAAAATATCCCAAACTTTAAAAGAAAAAAATTTTCCAGAATTCCCTAAAAACAGCCCAGACACTCAAAATTCCGCACCCAACCGTCCTCTAACTAAAAACACACCTGGAATGTCTAAAAGTGTAAAATAGAGTCCAGAAAAATAAAACAAAAACAAAAATATTTGGCATACTCAATTCATACCGGGAATTTAATTTTTGTAATAAAATTGTTTTTAATTTGGAAAGCAAGTCTGAAAAGGGGAATTTTTAAAAATTAAAAAATTTTTTGAAAAAAAAACTTTTTCTGTCGCCTTTCTCAGACTCTAACAGACGAGGAATAGATTCTTGAATAGCTGCATTTATTTGTTGTTTAACCAAATCCTCAATATAACTTTTGGAAAATTTTTAAAATAAAAAAAAGGAAAAGTAATCGTTTACAGATTATGGAAGGGGGGTTAACTGGAGGAAATTTAACAGGTTGGTGTTAACTGTCCATTTAAGTCTCAAATATTTTTTTGGAAAAAATTAGAATTTTTCACTTCTTAGAAAATGCTTCCTTCTCTTCACATTAAGTATATTGACTAATAAAATGCCGAATTTTATTTAAAAAAATTCTTAGGTAAGGGTTCTGACTATCTGGTGGTATTCTAAATTCAGAGCAAGAAATCCTTAAAAATCTTAAAAGTGTTTTCTTTGGACTCGAACCCCGAGACTCTAATGGTGTCTAAAAATTAACTGACAGCCTAAACAAATAAATATAAATAAACAAAAAAAATCATGTGATGTCTAAAAATTTATTTTTATTTTACATATTTTTTGTATTTTATTGATTGGAAGAAAATATTTTTTAAAATAAAATTGTTAACGATTACTCAATTTAAAAAAGAAAAATAAAATTTAATTTTTAAAATTTACCAAAAGCTTGTTTCTGGTAGTTGTTGTTCTGAATAATTCTCACACATTTATTTTAATTTAATTTATGACGTCATTAATTTAACTACTTGAAAAAATATAATTAAAATAAATAAAATTAAATTAAAATAAGTAAATTAAAATTTTAATAACAAAGATTTCTTTTGTTTCAGTCAGACACACATCTTTTTTCAACAGACAGGACATTAGAGTATTTAATTATTTTGGGGGTTTTATTTTTTGGGGGGGGGGGGTTTTAATAAAATATTTTCACATAAAATTCACCGACTTTTCACGTCGATTTAAGTACTACATACTCAACCTTCCCATATATCTAACCCTCGAGTTATCTCAGGTTGTAAATCATCCTGCACCAAATACAGTCAAATCTCTCTAACTCTTCATCCTCGGGGCCGGATTTAGCTGACATATAAAGGAATGTTAGAGACCTTGGTTTACCCGAGAGCCTTCATTATGTTTTTTAAGGAATGAACATCAATTGGATGCTATTTTTACGTTAAAATAGACCTGGGGCCAACGCAAATTAAGGAGACAATCGACAAACGATAGATATATTACAAATATATCGTTTATCGTCTGAAATATATCAGCTGACGATATTATGGAAATTATCGTTTATCAATTGTCAATTATCATTTAGCGTTTACCTCCAATAAAAATTAAGGAGACAAACGATATAATAGAAGAATTTCTTCTCTAGTCTTTTTATTCTTCGCGCCTCTTGTATTCTTTTCTCAACTTTGTAAGAAAATGTAATGCAAACAGAGAGAGTGAAAAAACTAGACATCTCACTCCTTTTCCCTCCTTTCCTTATACTCAAACACACCCGAGGACTGAAACTTTGAATGGCCATAACTTAGCCCAAAGTCGTTTTGCAAGAAAATGAAAAATACTTAGCAATAGGAAGTCGGGTGTCCTCTATCGAATGGTACTACAAAATATACCAAATTCGCAGTAACTTAATCCCATCAATCTTATGAATCCCTTCAATTCTTAAAAATTATCCGTGAAGGTTAAAACTCAAATATGTATCTCTTTTAATCCCCTAAAATATCGATATAACTCCAAATCCACCAATATCCCCCTTAATCCGCCGATATCCCCTTAATCCCACTAATTTTTATACCAATAGATATAGGAGAGTGTTTTACATTCTATAGGTAAAAATCAGAATTTTAGCTTTACTTTCCTAAAAGATATAAAATTTATAAGACGCTTAATCAAAAATTAAAGGCCTATTTGAGAGGATGAGTCCCTATTTCTCTCAAAAATGGATGTACCTTGCGCGAGAGCCTCTAGTAAATTTATTTATAAAGAAAAATTTCTGAAAATTATATCAAAAGATAGAGCACATTCCAATCTATCTAAAAATATTTTATTTGGAATTTTTAGGTCGAATTTGGATTTTTAAAAAAATTTTAAAATTTCAAACGATAAATTTGGGGGACAGGGTTTAGCATCCGATAAATTTGTCGTTCAAAAACCGTAGTTTTCCGTTCGTTACCATAATAAATTATCGTTTGAAACGACAAACGATTAATTTCGAACGATAAACGACAAATCTTGATGACAATCGATATAATAGAGACGATAAACGACAAACGATAAAGATATTTATTTTTACTCGAGGTATTCGACAAACGACGTATCCGAACGATAAACGTGAAAAATATATCTATCGTTTGTCGATTGTCTCCTTAATTTTTATTGGCCCCTGGGGCCAACGCAAATTAAGGAGACAATCGACAAACGATAGATATATTACAAATATATCGTTTATCGTCTGAAATATATCAGCTGACGATATTATGGAAATTTTTTTTATCAATTGTCCATTGTCGTTTAGCGTTTACCTCCAACACAAATTAAGGAGACAAACGATATAATAGAAGAATTTCTTCTCTATTCTTTTTATTCCTCGCGACTCATGTATTCCTTTTTCAACTTTATAAGAAAATGTAAAGCAAACAGAGAGAGTGAAAAAAACTAGATATTTTACTCCTTTTCCCTCTTTTCCTTATACTCAAACACACTCGAGGACTGAAACTTTGACTAGCCATAACTTGGCCCAAAGTCTTTGCAAGAAAACAAATATTACTTTGCAATAGGAAGTCGGGGGTCCTCAATAGACGAAGAAAATTATACATTTATTGAATCAAAATCCAATCATTTTATAAAAAAATCTCGACACCAAATCCCTCCATATACCCTTAATCATAAATCCCTTCGATATTCCCCTTGATCCCTCACAATCCTTTTAATTTGATCTATACTTAAATCACTGCAAATATATCGACATCCCTCCAAATCCATCAATATCCCCTTAATCCCTCCAATTTTTATATCAATAGATAGAGGAGAGTGTTTTACATATTATAAGTAAAAATAAGAATTTTAGCTTTATTTTCCTAATAGTTATAAAATTTATAAGACGTTTAATCAAAAATAAAAGGCCTATTTGAGAGAATGAGTCCCTATTTCTCCCAAAAATGGATGTACCTTACGCGGGAGCCCCTAGTAAATTTATTTTTAAAGAAAAATTTCTGAAACTTTTATCAAAAGATAGAGCACATTCCAATCTATCTAAAAATATTTTATTTGGAATTTTTAAGCTGAATTTGGATTTTTAAAAAATTTTTAAAATTTCAAACGATAAATTTGGGGGACGGGATTGAGCATCCACTAAATTTGTCGTTCAACTACCGTAGTTTTTCACTTGTTACCATAATAAAAAAGTGTTACAAACGACAAACGATTAATTTCGAACGATAAACGACAAATCTCGACGACAATCGATATAATAGAGACGATAAACGACAAACGATAAAGATATTAATTTGCGTTCGAGGTATTCGACAAACGACGTATTCGGACGATAAACGTGAAAAATATATCTGTCGTTTGTCGATTGTCTCCTTAATTTGCGTTGGCCCCTGAGGATATTGAAATATAATTTCCATCAGATACATACCTCAAAATATTTGATCGTTCTTTTGGGGTGACTGATTTGGAATTTACCGGAACATTAAGTTCTAACCAGTGCTTCGAAATTTCGATTTTTCTCGTACTCGTACTTCGTACCACCTCTTTTTTTGGCCTCGTACTTCGTACCAGGTGCGAGTACGAGGTACGAGTACAAATTTTGGTACGAGCTTCGAGGCACTGGTTCTAACAGAAGAAGATACTCATTTAATCGGTTATCCTTTCTAACAAAAAACTTCACAATTTTAAATTATTTTTTGTCTATCCTGTTTAAAAAGGAAAGAAGGATCGCGCAATAATTTCCTTTATGTAATTAGTACATAATCAAGTCTCTCGTCATTTTCCCTCTCTTTTTATAAAAAATCATCTTCCTTTATCTTTTCAATACTTCTTCTTTTCCTGTTCCCCAACAAGTTGTTGCACATTTGTTTTTTTTCTTTTCTTCGAATGCCGAAATGATCACATCATCATTTCCTTCTTTCTTTTTTTATAAAAAAGCAAAATATCAATCAAGTCTCTCGATTGCAATTATCGCGTCACATCACATGTTCCTTCTCTTCTCCTCCTTCTTCCCCTCTCTTCCTTCTTCCCCTCCTCTCTCCCTTTCTCGATTAAATCCCCAAAACAGCTTTACAATCAAATGGAACATCCGTGACTATTGCATATATCCCTTGGACTGTTTCTTCTTTTCTCTTATCTTCTCGTCTCTTTAAAAAAATAATCGTGGGAAACAATTAAAATGGCTCTCCGAGGCCATTATTTTATTTTTATTATACATATCTCTCCGAGGCCGCGCAACTTTTCTCTTTTTTAATTTCCTTAATCAGCTAGCTATCGGCCAGTTGTGTGAAAGAGCAAAGGAGGAACAAAAACACAAAAACAAAACTCCTGTTTTTCCAAATAATCAGCCTGGCGAGAGTGGCCGCTAAAAAAGAAAGGAGGAAAAGTTGCTGTTAACTGTTTTGTCTATAATCATTCAAAAACCTGTGGTAATAATCATTTTCCTTTTTGTTTCCAAATATCCACAAAACTTTCTTTTCTTTTAATTTTAATCTCCCAAAAAATGTCCAAAATATTTTTTATTATTTTTTTATTTAATTTTTTTCCTTCAATAAATTCAAATCCTTTAAAATTACCCTATGAAAATAGAAGTCTTATTGTTCTTGCTGCACCTTCAATATGGTATGGGGATACATTTTTGTTTATTAAATAAGGTCCCAAAATGAGAGGTATTCGAGTTAGGAATTGAAAAAATGAATATAAAGGAAGGGGATTATAAAGGAAGAAATTTCTTTTGATTTGACCTCTTCTGTATTTGTCCTTTAGTAATGAACTTGTCTATTAGAGATCGAGATTAGATTTTTGAAAAGCCTGGACCTGTTCCTGGACTCTGGAGTTTGATTTATTGACCTGGGCCGGAGTAGTCCAGGAAAAACCCAGGAAGATCAAAAAATGCCTGGGCCTGGACTCTGGGTACAGGAAAATCCCAGGCCTTGGTCCAGGCCCAGCTCGATCTCTATTGTCTATCAACCATCATTTAAGAGAGATAGGAGGCCTTTGGTAGGATTGATGTTGTTAAGTTACAAGTAGAGGCTAATGCTGAGTATTGGGCTTTTGTGACAACGGATCCAGCCAGACATTATTAAATCTTAGCAGCGGCTCTCAGGCTCTGGAGCCAGATCCTAAACTAAGGTTTTTATCGAGTCTCGTCTCGGTCTCTCTTTAATTAAATTAATTACTACGATTAGAGATATATAGGGGAAAAATATTTTAACTTTTTTTTTGTTTTGAGGGACGTCAATTATGCAGACGATTTTATTTCGATTGTGGAATTTCAAATAAAACTTGTAAAAATATTAAATGGTATTTTGTATTTAAAAACGAAATTAATTTAATTTTTAAAAGAATATGAAACAGCTATATTAATAGCAGATAGGCATACAATGCCTTTATTAGATGGCCGAACAAAAATGTTGAGAGAACATTTACCTTCAACTTTATTATTAGGTATGGGGACTTTTACAAGAGATGACCTCGATTTTATGTACACCCCCATCTGTGCACCACAACGTAAACATAGTTGCTCAACCGATTGAGCTAACATGACGCTCTTTAATAAACTCTTGTCTAGTAAGCGTTTTAAATTCTTGCCAGATATGCACTTCTTTCCTTCCTTGTAATACGCAGAATTTTTATTCCCAAATGTTTTCGTAAAATCGAGGTTTTTAAGTTTAAAAAATAAAACATGTATTTTTACAGAAGGGAATATTTATGATATCAATTTACGTGATTTTGCCCCAATGGGTTGTTTGAAACAAATAAAATTTATTTACAGGTAACAAAATTTTTAAATTAAAAAAATTTTTAACTTGCCAAATAATTTTAAACAAAGGAATGCTGAATGGGCCCCAATCGCCTCCAAACAAGTTGATGACAGTATTAATCGGTTTTTAATGAAAAATCGAATTAAACTTCAAAGAAGGGAACCTGAAGTTGTTCTTTCTGGAAGGTAGCCAAAAATTTGGATTTTTTGAATAATTTGAAAAATTTTTAAAAAATGTTGTTAAAGGGATGTGGTCGACAATGGAAAGAATAGAGCGCTTATTTCTAATGTATTTTTTAAATTTATTTTTAAATTAGTGTTGAGGTATATTTTAGAAAGGGGGGGGCTATGTTTTTTGGGAATTTGGGGGGTTTTTCGGGTGTATTTTTTGGTATATTTTTTTGGGCTATATTTTTTCTCCTTTGTATTTTAACATTCATACTGTATACCTAGAATCTCTAAATTTCTGTGTCGCTCGAGCTTTCAAATTGAGTTACATTCAGACTAGAAAAATCTTATTTTATAGTGAGATGTACTTATTTAATTCTGAAGGCATTAATTAGGCAGTTTTCTTGCCCAGTAGCAAAATTTTTTTAAAAATCGTGAAAGATAACACTGTAGTTTGTTTTTTTCACTGTAGTTTAAGTCAGGGTAAACATTAACAGAACTCGCCAACTTCCGTTTAAAGTGGCCTTCTCGTTGTATTTGTGGGGTGGGGCAGGCTATGGAGAATTAATTGAATTTTAAGAATAATAAAAAATATTTTTCTCCTTTAAAAGACTGCCTTAATTACAAATATGGAGAAGCTGCCTGAATGGAGTTTAACACTTAAACTACAAAATGCTTTCAATAAGGTCTTTCCTCTAATAAATGCAAAAATTAGTCATTAAAGGTTGTAATTGTTCCTTCCCCAACATCCTTCACCGGCAGAAAAAATTTAAGATTGGATGATGTTCTCGCTTTTGCTGATGATGGACTTTTAATAATTTCTGGTTTGGATCCAGTAACTAAATCGAGGACTATTTCTGAACTTTACAAGCGGGAAAAGAAAGATGTGTGAATTTTTAAAAAAGAGGGAAATAATTACAGGCATTGAGTAAATAAATACTCCTCCTTAATTATATGGAGTAGAAACGGATTGAGTAAAAATCAACTGAACTTGACCAAATTCCTATTAAAATCCCGTTATGACTTTCTCTGCCCATTTGATAAGTAAAAATAAAAATTATCAGTCAGCAGTGGGGAGGTTGATTGGATAATATTTATCCGAGCGTTTGGAAATCTTTCGGAATTAATCTTTCCAATTTTGTTATTTCGGGAATGAGTTCAATCGCTTTTCTTGAGTGCAAGAGATTTTTATTGAACTTTGGACATGATTTTCACTCCTATATCCATCCCTAGCTAGCAGCATATATTACTTATATCAAACTCAAGCCTGTGCAAAAATATTAAATCTAATGACCCTCTAAAAAATTAAGGTTGCTGTATTAGAACTTCCAATAGGGGATGAGGAAAAATATGTAAAGGATGAAGGAAATTGTGGGCTTTACACAACAATGTTGGGAACAGAAAAGTTATTTAAAAATAAAAATTGGCAAAATATTTAATTTAAAAAAGGTCTTTATTTGTACCTGTCTTTGGCAATAACCCTGCAAATTGGAAACGTGGATATTCAACAAAGACAGACAAAATGGTTTTGAGATTAATTGAAACGTTTGTTTCTTTTAATTTTTTTATTCAAAAAATTTCCTCTTTCCCCTAAACAGGAATACTCGCAAAAGAGTCATTCCGGTGGGTTAATTTTTTAATTGAAATTTTTAAATTAAAAAATAAAAAAGGTAAATATTCCACGTGAAATATGCCGTAGAGGAATTTCGCTTCGTTCGCTTGCATGGATACTTCGAGGGAGTGCAGCCAATCAAATTAGAGGATTGGCTAGAGGAAAGGAAACTTAATTTAAAAAATCTATATAGAAAATAGATCTCTCTTAATTAATTAATTTATAAAATAAAAATATATTTAATTTTAAAAGTTTGGATAATTAACTTGTTTTTTAAGTGTTTGAATAAACAAAACAATATAAAATGCAAAAAAAAAAGATCAAAAATAATAGTTTTTAACCTCGTATATAACGATATGTTAATTAACCTCTTTATAATAAAATTATTACAATTTCGTATGTTCCAGAACCGAACCCTGAAAACCCGAACTTTTCTAACTGAAGGAAAGAAAAGTTATCAGCTTGCTTAAAAAAAGTTTAGCAGAAAGTTCGGTGTGAACAATAAGCCTTCTAGGTAGCAAGGCTATTAGACATAATTTTAACCGAAATTTAAGTCCATTATATAGAGATTTTCAATTAATAATTAATACATATAAAATTAATTTAAATCAACCTCCTCCGTTTTAATTCAGAGGTTGTTGGAAAGCTCTGAAAGTCAATAATAACATCATCATTATCAAAATCATCACCCACATTCGTTTCCCTTCTCCTATCATCAATTCTCCTTTTCTTCTTTAACATTTCTTCAACCAATTTTTGTGAGTTTTCCGCATTTTTAGTCATGCCAGGTTTGAAAAGATTTAATTTGGATGTTGATTCGGCAAAAAATCCTCCTCCTCCTCCTTGTGTTCCATTCTCTGAAATTTATTTTAAACATACAAATAGAGATTTTAACAATTAATCCAATCCTTTTTAATATGTTCCCCTAATTTTAACCCTCAAAGAAAAATAAGGATAGAAAAAGTGAATCATAAAGTGAAGTAGCCCAAAGGCGAGTTTTCTTCCTATAATCAGAGGTGGGTCGGAATTCCGATTTCCGACGCTTTTTTCCTTCCGATTTCCGAAAAAAATTTTGATTTCCGACTTTTGAACCAGTTTCGATTTCAGACTCTTCCTATTTCCGAGACCTCTGACTGTTCCGATCCACCTCCGCTACTATATATGTCAAAAAAAAAGGAAAAATTTTTTCAAAGCAAGCCAAAAAAAAATAAAATTTTCCTTTTTTATTAATCTGACAACCTTGAAGAAAAAATAAAGTCTCCATAATGATGAAAATAAATCACACAACTCACCATTTTGAAAAGATATACCGTCAAGAATTTCATCTCTAATAGAAACTGCAGTAGCTCTTTTTCCATTACTTTCTGCTGGAGAAAATCCATTAACAATTGTAAACCCATTCTCATTATTAATATTCAATTCTTCTTCTTCTTGTCTTTTTTGTTCATTAATTTTTATTTTTTCTTCGGCCATTTCACGCAACTTTTCGGTTGTAATTGTTTTTAATTTGGGATGGAAAAATCTTCTTAAGTTTGTGTCAATAAATTGAGTGGAGGATGAAGGGGATTCTAGAAAAATAAAAAAGAAATAAAGTTAAATTAAATGCAGTTCAAGTCTGCTCCAATGAACTAACTATAAAACTAAATGGCGCTGCAATACGAATTTATGAGCAGTGGGAAACAGGGCTGTGCGTCATAGCGTTTGGCGCGACACACGAAAATTTTGGCGCACGGCCCGAAACGTTCAGATCTACAGCTCGAAGGAACAAGGTTAGAATTCCACCACTCGAGAGATTTTCTTTGAACATTTTTAAAAATGTAAAGCCAAGTTCAAAAAAAATCTCGAAAAATAGGTAAAAAATTATACAAAACAGACCGGTCGAAAGAAAAGTAATACTTCTAATAAGCCTATTTCTTCTTGTTTTAGCTAACCAATGATTAGTAAATTGTCTTTGCCAAATTAAATGTAAATTTTGTCCAATTTGTTTTAAACGATCTTCAATATCACGAACTTGACTTGCCCTAACACGAGTTACAATAGAAGAAAGTTGTTCTGACAAAACTTTTTCTAAAAGTAAATCTCCTTGAATTGTAGCAATTTCGTTTGCCAGTCTATTTTTTGACTGTTCGACGATTTTTCTAGAAATTAAATTAAAAAAAAATTAAAAACTACAAGCTCAAATATATTGTAAATTAAAATAATAATGGTCCAAAAAGTAAGCGCAAACCCCTGACGGTTAACAAATACCTTTCAAACAGATATTTGTGATCTAGCATTTAGTGACTCCTATTCACTCTCATTTTTCTCTCTCATAATTAACACAAAATTTTTCAGTTAATTAATGAATCATCCAACAATATTTTAATAATAATATTGCATAATTAATCTAAAAATTTTGGCACAGATCGATTAATCGCTCTAGAGTGATTATCGATTTATTGTCAATTTTGTGAATTTTTCGGGAGAATTTAGGACAATCTCATAAAAAATCTCTTCGGAGTGAGATCAACACAAATTTTGAAATTAAATTTCTACAAAATAAATACCTAAGTATCCCTGCAGATAAACGTTCCAAATTCGAATTAACAATAAAAGAAAGTGTTGAATTGGCAATATTAATAACCAAATTTTTTGTTAATTTTTCACATTTTCGAATTTTTGTAAAATTTATCCAATGTTTCAAAGCTCGTCTCAATTTTATTGAAAATAAATTTCTTCGAATTTGTGCCAGTTTAAGTTGTCGATAATTTTCAATTGAAGATTGAGATATTTTTATTAATTGCCTGTTACAAACTTTAGCAATAATATGGTCAGCTTGAATTGCAGAAAAAGGATAATTTTGTTTGGAAGTTTTAAATGGTTGAATTCCACTGAAAAAATTTTTTTTATTTAGAAAATACTTAAAATAATACTTGACGTTTAATAATTTAAAAGACGGGATACTGGAAGTCGATTTTTTAAAATTTGTATAAAGCCAAAAAAATGAAGAAAAAGTCGTGGAAATTCTAAGGGGGAGCAGGCCAGTGTACCGCGAGCCACATGTACCACCGAGCTATAACTTTCTTCAGAATTGTCGAATCCGGGACTCCCTGGTATGGTTCGATGCGGCTGACCAGCTGAATCTAACTATACCAGGGCGCTACGGATTCGACAATTTTGAAGAAAGTTATAGCTCGGCGGTACATTGGGTTTTACCCATTCTAAGAAGTTTAAAAAGCAAAAAATTAAAAAATAATATTTTTAAAAATACCGAGCAAAAGAAAAATTCATTGGAAGCGTTTTCTTGCTAACCGAATTAACAACAACTTTGTGTTCTCGAAGCACCGCATCAAGAATCGGGTCATTTTCATAAACATTTGAAGCTGAAAAAGAATTGTTGACATGTCTAAGAGTTGTCCTTGGGGGAGTAATAGGTGTTTGGCAATTACAAAAAATCTTTAAAAAATGAAGAAAAATTAATTTTAAAAAAAATTTAAAGAAAACCTGAGGAACTGTTAAATGAATAGATTTTTCTTCAATCCATTTACATCCCATTTGTGGAATTAAATTTGGTTTAGGCATTTCAGTGTTTTGTAGGAAAATATTCTTTCCATCCCGAGTATTGAGTAAATTTGGATCTACTCTGTCCAATTCCACACCAAAAACTTTCATAAATGACAGAGCTTGTTCTGTAGAATCAAATGCCAAACTCTCAATAAATTTCTCAAGAGGAAATGAGTTAAAAGCCATACAAATAACTTTTAGGCCAGAAGAGCGTATTGAAGCAAAAAATTGGTAACAGAGACAAGCCTGAGAAATTTAAAAAATTAAAACTCAAAAACAATATAGTCTATTAATTGTTGCAAAATTGAATAAAGAAAATTGAATAACAGAACCGAATATTTTGAAAGTGAAATTTATAAAAGATAACCACCAAAAACCATCAAGAAAATTAGTTGCAGATAGAATGGTTGTTAATTTTTGGTGGAAAGAAAAATCCGAATTCGTTAAAATTTAAAAACCAAGATTCTACAGTTAATTTTAAAAAAAGAAAAAGAGTACTATACAGATCCCAACCTGAAGAAACGTGGCATGATTTTTAACAAGACGGAAAAATAAAATATAATTGTTGTTTTGAAGAGCACTCGCCAAATTCAAAGCTAATTGGACCTCTTTAGATTCTCTAACAGATTGTCGATAAGAAAGTACTTGACTAAAAAAATAATTTTAATAAATTTTTAAAAATTAAAAAGACCTGTAAACATTAAAATCAGTCAAATTCAAAATAATATCATAAGAACGAAATTCTGGTTCATTAAGACAAGATCTTTGCATTTTGGCCAAATCATCATACATCTGTCGTAATGTATGACTACATGTGTTATATGCTGCTATTGCCATAGCGGGATGATCACTAGCGGCGTTTAGAGATGACATTTCTAAAATCATTAAAAATTAGTTTAATCAACCAGTAATTAATAAAAATATTTTTCGTGAATTCAAGTCATTCAATAAAGAAAAATTCACTATTGTAAGCAATGAATTTTAAAAAAGACCACACTTCCAATTTTTTTACTCCCTTGGATACGCACTTGATAGGAGTCATAAAAAAATACAAATTTTTTCAACATTAGAATCTAAAAAAGCTCAAAGAAAGAAAAATTTACCGGAATTTATCTCTTGATTAACATGTTCTGTGCCCAATGAAATCAATTTAAAAGCAGAAAAGATATGTAAACGGGCACATTTTTCGACTAAATCAACAGCCATTTCACTTTGCAACATTTGTTGAGTTATATCCTAATTAAAGATGAGATTAAAAGAAAATCTAAAATAAAAAATACTTTTCGAATAGCTCTAGTTCTTGACCATAAAAAGTCACACCAACGTATTAATTCATTTTTTGTTGTCGGAATTTCACTTGAAATGTTAAAAATCAAATAATCCATCGTTGTTTGAAGCACTTCTAGAGGTCTAAGTTCGTGTGGTAAAGGCATATCCTAAAATAAAAATTTAAGTTGAAGGTCTAACTTAACATGAGGAAATTTTGATTCATAAAAACTGCCGTCCACGCGAATGAAAAAACAATTCCTTTAAGAGGTGCAAGCTTTCTACCCATTGAGTACTCAAATATTTTAAACATTAACCTGATCAGCTGCCGATCGACTATAATCCTTAACCATCTTTTCGTGAACTATACGTCCTTCAGAATCACATTCATAAAAATGTAGACTTTTCTTTACATCTCGCATATAACGTTCCTTTTCTGGACACATATCCTGACATGTTCCCTAGAATATTTAAAAAAATAAAATTTTTCAAAAAAAATCAAAAACCTTGATAAATTTATTATTTCCTGGCTTGGAGTCCAGATTGACCAATTTAGAAAGAAATTCATCTCTTCTACGTAAAAGGTGGAATTTCTCAGTATTTGTGGTGCAAGTTAATCCAATCAAATTTTTAAGTCTAGTTACTAAAAATAAAATTTAAATTTTATAAAGTAAAATAAGTTAAAAGGACATTAATGAACTCATAATATTTTTTAATGAATTGAAAGCAAAAAATAGTTTTAATTAAATATCCAATCATATACTACAGTAAAGCAGCTGACTGACAATGAGCCATAATTATTTCTATCCTTTAGCTATGCAAAAGGTTAATCGGTGGCTGGGTGTGAACCCGGATCTTCAGTAGTACACAACGCCGCCTAATGCACAACCTTAGGAATTAAATAGCTATATATTTTAGACTACCTCCCTCTACTACTAATGCACGTTTTTGAGTTTGCAAACACAGGATCTAGACTGTTATTATAAAGTGTATCAACAACCCTTACGTCAACAAATTCCAAAAATTTCAAAAAATTATTAACAAAAAACATACACATTTCCTCTTTTGAAAGATTCAAATTAATTTTGGGCAAATTATTAGATGATTCTGCACTGGCCAATCTCTTCTGACGTCTTTGCATAATTTCATTTGAATCCATTTTTCGAGTTTTGCTTTTTACAGTTTGCGCAATTTTTCTAGGTGTTTCCATTTAAAAATATAAAAAAATTGGAAATGAAATTTTTTGATTAAAATAAAAATAATTTGAATAATTACAAATAAAAATCAAATATAAATTTGAATTTATAAAATTTATAAAAATCTATAAAATTATAAAAATAAAAATTTGTAAATCGTGTGGGGGCAAACTCGAGGAATTCCAAATCACGGAACAGACAAGTCATGGAACTATAAGTACGGGAACAATAAGTCAGATTTTTAAAAAAAATTCCGATTTTTAAAATATTCCGTGTTTTGGTCATTCCGAGAGTTGTCGTTCCGTCAATTGTCTGATCCGTGAGTTAGCCCGATACGTCGTAAATTATAAAAAGAATTATACAAGCAGAATTAACAACATTGGAGAAGAAAATAAAAATTAAAAAAATACTTTCTTTCCATCAGAGATCAAATATTAGCACTAGTTAGCTGTTCAACTTCCCAATCTTTCCTTTCAATTCCTTGAATGCTTGTAAAACAAAAGAAACAATAAACCCTCCATTGACTAGATAAATTATTTTTTCTTGCTCTAACAGCACAAATTGGAGTTTTTAAACATTTTGAACAGACAAGCCGATCTTTGGCATCAAAATTACTTTTAATATCCTCTTCTTTAAATAATGTTGTCTTTAAAAAATTGAATATTCGAGTCCAAAGAGGTATAAGCAAAATTAAAACGTAGGCGAATGAATGGCCAAACAATTCGCGATTTAGTGCTCCATAATTGATTTGACCTAAAAGAAAATAAATTTTTAAATAAATTTAAAAAAATATCAAGCATAAAGGCAATTCCCGAAAGTTCACTTAAAGAAAAATTCTGGTAATTCAAACAACTGTTAGCCATTTTTTAGGTGAGTACAAGAAGGGGTTCTCTACTTAAGGGAAGTCTGCCAGGAATTTTTAGTATAAAAATAGTCTTACCAATTCTTGGACTTTTATCATGAACAGGTTTAAGTCGAAGCAACGCCTCTATTGGATGCGATGGTCCACCAAATTTGAGGAAATAAAGGAAGTAGCAAAAATCAAAAATTTTGAAGCCAACAATAATCCTTCTAATAAATAATCTTTTATGACGAAGATATGAAGGCAAAAGTCGGAACAAGGAATTTGAGATTGTTGGTAATAAAATGCAGAAAGTATAGTTAAGCAATCCTTTGAGTTTTGTAAAATTACCATAGCGTATGTTCATAAGACGTTGGCCCGGACTTTGTCCTTAATGATTTAAAATTATAAAAATAAATTTAAATATGGGACAGTTTTGTGGGTGTGAAACGAAAAATATTCTAATTTCGTGAGTTAGTAATACCCATTAAATATTGAGAGCGATGGAGACGAAAATGACAAGATCGATTTCAACTCCCCAGTAAATACATTAAAAAACCTGTAAATGCATGCATCAGATGATAGGATAATTTAAGCAAAGAATCCTTGTGCGTTTCAAGAAAATCAAATAACCAATTTGAGAAAGGTAAACAAATTTCTCCATCCCTTAAGCCGTCTCTCAAGGCCACCCGAAATGCAGAAATTAATGCATCGTCAAGAATTTTTGCATCCAATTGAATTATTCGCCCAACTTGAAGATTTATTTGCTTTTGATGAATTGTTTCGTCGAATTTTGACATTCCATAAATTACAAATTTAGGATAAAATGAAAGTCCTCAAAAATTAATCCGCAAAACATTTGTCCGCAAATTTTATAAACGCAAAAATTAAATTTGAAAAAATACAATCGTTAGCTAACGAATAAAGCAAAAAGATAAACAAAATAAATGCTCGGCTCAATTTAATTTAAAAGAAACAAATAAATGAAAAATACCAAACAACAAGTCTTTCAGAAAAATACGGAAGAATGCTAAATTCAAATATTAGAGGCATATGTAAATGAAAAAAGTATTTAAAAACTTAATGTTCAAAGAAAAAGGAAAAAAATTTAATTTTAAAAATAGAAGAAAAAGATAAGTTTTCAAATACTTTGTCTCTTTTACAAAATATTTGAATGCAGCAAAAGAATTTTTAACTCAATTCATTTAAAAACTGTGTGTCATTGTTTTACATTCGTGGAGAGCCACTCTTCTTTGACGCACTTGAAAGAGAACGACTACGTGAACGAGTGCGTGATCGAGAACGTCCATTTTCAGCTAAATATTTAAAAAATATGTTAAGTTTCGAGTTTAAAAAAATAAATCAACCTGGAGAAGCCGATCGAGAAGGTGGAGAGCGGCTACGTGAACGATAAGCAGAACGGCTACGTGAGCGAGAACGACTGGAATTTTAAGATTAAAATAGAAAAATAAAATTTAATGTTACCTACGACGACCACCCCCACCACCACCTCCACCATAGCCATCAGAATCGTCGACTAATTTTATACGACGACCATTTATATCTTTACCTGTAAAAATATTACGATAAAATTGCCGAATGCATAAGGGAACGAAGGCTAAAAAACGTGTTTTCCCTTTTACTCACAAACGAACCTTGATAACGATCAAGAGCCCGTCGAAGATCCTCATGCGAAGCAAAACATATAACTCTAAAAGTTAATTGAATGAAAGATTTAAAAAATAAACATACGCTTCATTTCGAGTTTTTTTGTGAGCATCTGCATAAGTCACCTCACCAGCATTTCTCATTAGATCTTTAAGGTCCTAAATTTAAAAAAATTGAAAAGCTGTAAACGTTTTTTCCATCAAAAACCATTTGTCAATATAAAAGAAAAACACAGATGGGAATTAATTTAGAGAAAAATGAATAACAGACCGAGACAAGCAAAGTGCCGTCATCTATTCTGTCAGCCTAAATTGTTCCCTCATCACCCTCTCTTCTTTCATCTGAACATCCCCAGATTCTGAGGTAAGAGAGCACATTCTCGTTGATTTCTCTTTTGGTATATCATCCCGCCTTTCTGATCAGATCAGCGGTTTGAAGGTGAATCCCCCAGTAGTTTAAAACGATGGCTTAACTCAAAACAAAGGTGAAGAACAAACGCCCTCAAAACTAAAACAAAATACTTTCAAATTGCCACCCTTCACCTTTGACGTCTATTCATTCTTCTTAACTATCAACTTCATAAGTCAAAATTAGAAGCCGAGTGAAGCGCGAAAACCCTCAGTTATTGTCATCAGCGAGGCGAGGGATGGGCGATCCCTCAGAAATAATTTAGCGGGAAATTGGTTAAAAATTGCGCATCTCATCAGATACCTCAATATTGACATCTCTTCCCTCATCCTACTCTTCCGAGACTTTAACTGAAAAAATCAGAGTTTTTGTGCTCTTAAAACCTGGGGCTAAAATATAAGTAAAAATAACAAGTTGGGACAAGCTACAAATAGAGTGGCCATAATTAAAAAATAATGTCGAACCTGCCATGAGCAACGAGTAGACAGATTGTACACAAGCATCCGATAACGTGTTTGGATAGGTGGACCATAGCGAGCGCTGAAACGATGTAAACTAAATCAAATTGAAACAGATAAACCAATTGAAAAGAAACTAATTCCACTTACGCTCCTCCACCTCGGTAGCCGCCACCACGATATCCACCCCCTCCGCGATAGCCCCCGCCACCACGATATCCTCCGCCACCACGGTATCCACCTCCGCTACCTCTGTATCCTCCGCCACCACTACTACTGTGATAATCACCACCACTTTCACCAGGACCTTAAATGCAAGTATAACAAAGTTTAAGTAAAAAAATTACGTTCTCGACGAGAAATTTCAACAACGACACGTTCCCCACAAAGCTCACGACCGTTTTGTTCGTAAACAGCATCCTCCGCATCTCGAGAATCATCAAAATCCTAAATTTTGATTAAAAATGAGATAAATAAAATTATAATATACCACAAAACCAAAGCCATTTTTAAGCATAACAGCACGAATTCGTCCAAACCCTCTAAAGAAATCTTCAATATCACGTTCGTCAGCACGAGAAGAAAGATTGCCAATGTAAACTCTGCTCATTTTAATGCAGATTAAGGCAGTAATAAATATTGCTTAAAATCCTTAAATGAGATTGTAAACAAGATAAAATAAAATTTGATCATAAGATATTTTAGCAAAAAAACTATAAAAAATTTCTTCGATTTTTAGGAAATTTTCTTTTTTAGCAATTTGACATTTTATACTTTGTAAGAAATTTTCTACAAATAAATCGTTTTAAATATTTCAAAACATCAATTGCAGCTAATAACAAAACACCAAAATTTAATTTAGGTCAAATTAATAATTTTTAAGTTGGTTGTTTATCTTTTATCATTTTTTAGCGGAATTTCTACTAATTTTTTATTCATTTATTTTATCAAAAACAACTCATATTAATCAAATTTACTTCAAATACAACTTTTATGAGTTGGTTTTGTTTATTTTTTAGTATCATTTTACTAATAATAAACCATTTTCAGTTGTAAAGGAGGATTTATCAAATGGGAGTGCAAGTTGTAAAATTCCCGTGGTGAATGTTGTCGACAACTCTAATTTTAAGGAAAGATTTCTTTATGTCGCAGAAAATGTTGAAAGAGAAGATTTTGTACAGAAAAATTTGGTTAATTTTTTAAAGTGGGAAATCATTATTTTTTAACTTTTTAGAGTGGTTGTGATTGTATTGATGTTTGTCGTTCTGGGAGTTGTGCTTGTATAGACAACAGTACAGCAAGAATTTATGTAATTTATTTAATTTTAACTTAAAAATTGGGATCATTTCTATTAAATTTATTAGAGAGCGACCTGGATCTGGTTCCAGACCCTGATTTTTCTTTGATCCAGAGTCCAGATCAAGACATTTTTCAGAGTTCCTTGATTTTTCCTTGACTCAAGGTTAAGAATCAGGTCAAGGTACCCAACCGAAATCAAGGTCAAGAATTCTGGTTCTTTTGAGTCAGTAGTTTGAGGTTTTCATTAAAGCAAGAATTTATGTAATATTTTCCGATACCGAATTCCTTTATAGCCGAATTGGCTGCACTACTGACTATTTTCCGATATTCTGTGCCGAGCATGGGTCAGTAAAAGATTTCGGGCTCTAGCTTCCTCCTATTTCCGACTTTTCTCTAAAATATTTCAGGACCATAAAATCGATCTCACAAATGGCGTGCCAAATTTTTATGAGAACATAATTTATGAATGTGATAAAAATACTTGTCTTGGCTGCAAAGGAAAATGTCATTGGCGTTTAACACCTGAAAAGTTTAATTTGGAAGTTGAAGTCTTTAAAACGCCTTTGGCTGGCTGGGCTGTTCGTTCTAGACAGTTAATTGAAGCTGGTTTTCTTTGAAGTTAAAAAATTTTAATTTTATTATTTTTAGGTACATTTATAGCAGAATTTGTTGGTGAAATTGTTCATCATAATAGTATGGCTCACAGACCGATTGATTATGCTTATGATTTGCCGCTTTTGGATATTAATAAATCTGCTAATATTTGTAAGAAGTTTTTTATTTGGGCTATATTCTTGGGTTTTTATTTTTTGCGTACTACGATAAAGCATTGTCATGCTCTAAAAACTTTCCTTGAAAATTTATATTTTAATTGTCAAATTTTTATAAGGGCGACCTTCTAACAATAAATCACTCATTTTTTAAATCTTTGAAAGAATTTCTTTTTGGGGAAAGTATAAATTTTTTCTAATTAAAACGATATTTTTAAGATGTTGATCCTCACGTTTATGGCAATATAACACGTTTTCTTAACCATTCTTGCTTTGAAAATCTGCATCCTTTTCGTTATTATAGTCATCATAGAGACAAATCTAGAATTTCTTTGGGATTTTTTGCAAGGTTATTTAATTTTAAATTTTTTTGAAATTAAAAAAAATTTTAAAGTCGTGATATCATCCCAGGCGACGAATTAACAATTGATTATGGCCCAGAATGGTGGAAAGGGAAAATTGAGGAATCTAGGAAACTGAACCAAGTATTTTTTTGTTGTTGTGATTGGGTATATTGTATTAATCCTGCGCCTGGAAAACCTCAAATGAATGATAAAGATGCAGTTAAAGAAATGGAACGTAGAATTGGGAGAAATCATGCAATTTTTATGTGTTGGAAAGAAAATCAAAAGAAAAAAAATTTTGAATTAAAAAATTGATCTCTCTTACACTCTGTCCCAAAATTATGAGTTCACCCCTAAATTTCGTCGTAATATGGGTTTCAGACTACAAAATCGAAATATCTTTTAATATATGTTTATTTAGCGTATTCTGAAGTATATTGCAAGTTTCCAGACAATTTGCAACATTAAGGCGAAAATTACGCCAAAATTTCTCAAAAACCACTGTCCCAAAATTATGAGTTCACCTTAATATTTTTCTTCAAAACATTAGAAAAAATCTATAAAAATCCCAGTAGACATATACATTGATATCGTGAAAAAATAAAAAAAACTAGGCCCATATCATTACCCAAAGGTTAGATCCTGACACCCTGAAAATCAACATAAAACAGGGGTAAGGCTCTTTAAAAAATATTTTCGACCCCTTATGGATTGTTTTAAATTTTTGTTTTAGGCTTATCTGAAAGCCCTTGAAATTTGCTACAAGATAGTTGAATCTTATTTTTTAGAAAAAATATCTCGCTGGGTTATTAAGTGTTAGATATCCTTGTCATCAAAAAACGCCTAAATGCCCCATAAATTGCCCCTTATGGTTGCTTCGGAAGTTTAACGGGCTGTATCTCTCTATGTAATTTTTTTCTAAAAAATAAGATTCAACTATCTTGTAGCAAATTTCAAGGGCTTTCAGATAAGCCTAAAACAAAAATTTAAAACAATCCATAAGGGGTCGAAAATATTTTTTAAAGAGCCTTACCCCTGTTTTATGTTGATTTTCAGGGTGTCAGGATCTAACCTTTGGGTAATGATATGGGCCTAGTTTTTTTTATTTTTTCACGATATCAATGTATATGTCTACTGGGATTTTTATAGATTTTTTCTAATGTTTTGAAGAAAAATATTAAGGTGAACTCATAATTTTGGGACAGTGGTTTTTGAGAAATTTTGGCGTAATTTTCGCCTTAATGTTGCAAATTGTCTGGAAACTTGCAATATACTTCAGAATACGCTAAATAAACATATATTAAAAGATATTTCGATTTTGTAGTCTGAAACCCATATTACGACGAAATTTAGGGGTGAACTCATAATTTTGGGACAGAGTGTACATTTTTATTGGAAAATTTCCCATTTTGTTATTTTTGTTTAAATTTTATATCAATTTATATTTTGTATTATATGGGTATTAAATTGGCCCAATTTATATTTAACTAATATTAGTGATTCTGTAAGTATAAATTAGGGTTGTTTCCCGTCTCCGAAAGTCGGGGAATTTGGGGAAAATTTCCCGTCCCTCCCCGCCCCTTCTCCCGTGGCGCTGCCTCACCGAAAATTGTTCCCTGTGACCCTCTCCCCCCTCTCCGTTGGGGAGCAACCCTAGTATAAATCACTTTATTGACTCATTTTTTTAATTCACAAAATTTTTAAAAATAATTTTAGGAAAACTTTTACATAACTTTTTTATTCAAAAAATGACTTCTGATTCTTCCAATTTTTGGACATTTATTGCTCATGCATTTAATTGGATCGTAACTTTAATTCTTCCACAAAAAATTGATGGATCTTGTAAAAATCATTCAATAAATTTTAATGACACGCCTTCAGCTGGAGAATTTATTTCAAGTTTATTTTTAATTTTTTTTTTGAAAATTAAAAATTTATTTTGGCAGATTTGGAAGGTTTTCAAATTGTTTTTCTTTCTGTTGGAAGTGGCTTAATTTTATTAATTTTACTCTTGGCAAGTATACATTGGTGGTATATTTTCAATTATGTTTCGTCAGAACAAAGAAGAAATAAACTTTATCTGCTTATTTCACTATTTCCGGTTATTTTTTAAATAATATTTTGGTGGCAGAAATATTCGGTAATCTTAAGGAATCTCTATTATAAACGAAATGTTTTACGAGAATCATTCTCTAGGGATATTAAGTCTCATTGGTTAAGTTTTTAAAAGGCTAGTTAATATAACTTTATCTTTGAAGACTTACAGGCCCTCAAAAATTTAAAAACAGGCCATTTGATGCTTGGGAATTTATTTGTTATAATAGTTACACTTTTGAAACTTATTTTCACAAAAAAGATTGATTGAGTGTAATCTGAATTTTTAAAGTCGGTTTCCATTTTTTATTTTCTGATTATAAATACAGTGATGGCCTTAAGTAATGCAACACTATCGCTTCATTTATTATTTATTTGTTATACTTCACCCTCATTTTATTTTAAATCACACACTAAATCTTTTTTAAATTATAGGTTTGTTCCTGTTGTTGTATGGTTGGGATGTTTTGTCCCCGAACAGCTTTGCTAGTCTCATCTTTTGGTCTTCTTTATTTTCTTCTTTGCCTCTTTGTTTTGGTCTCCTTAATGCGTCATTTGGCTGGTGGAAGGGCTGCTTTATCCAATTCTTTGACTGAAAAAGGAAAAGTTATTGACTTTAGAAGCCCTCCTTTTTGCTGTTTTTTGTGGTGTTTACCTAAAGCTAGACCTTCAATGTTTGTCTTTTTGTTAATTTTTTAGTTTAATTTTTGTTAATTTTAAGTGTGAATTTAACCAAACTCGAATGGATAGTTTTACAAGCACCTATAGTTAGGGTTTTTATTGTTTTTGGACAAGTTGTGGTTGTTGCTGAAGCTAGAGAGAATGCTTACAAGTATGTATTTTTATTGAGAGGATTATAAATTAAAAGACTTATTCTCGGTTCTCGTTATTAACCTCCTCATTATTATCATTCCCCCTTAATTACCCCTATTTTTGTTAGATTCCTCGTTTTTTCATTTGTGCCTCGGGGCACCGTATGTTTGAACTTTTTCTTATTGTTAGCTAATTAATATTTTCTTTTGTTTAAACAGTAAAATTTTATGTTAAAGATTTTTTCATTAAAATCTAAACCATTATAACAATTTTCAAAATTTTTATAATCTATCTTCTAAAAATTTATTTAATTTAAAGTTGGCTCCAATTTTTTGATCTCGCTACATTTGCTTCTTTACTTCTTGCCATTTTTGGAGTTCATACATTGGCACGACTTACTTCTGTATTTTTTGAAATATTTTTTTATTTACACATTATTTTTTAGGAAGAACTTTCTTGTTATGGTTTTGGAGGTATTTTCAGAGTTGTTGATTTGGGACTTTTTCTTTTTACTGCTCAACAACCTTTTATTTTTCAAAATATTTTACTTCGATTTGGTGTTATTCGTTGTGGTGTTGTTCTTTCTCCACAAGAAAATGCTAGATGTTTGTTTTTTTTTTAATTTGAGAAATAGTTTAGGGATATTTATTCAGATAATAAAAATTATTTAAATTGAAGATAAGCTCTTTCGGGGATTTCATTTGGGTACTTTATGGATATACCACCCCCCTCATTTTGAGGTTTCCTTAATATGTTTCCCCATTATTACATATACACAGAGATAAAATAGGAGCGGGGTATATCAGAATAATATGAGCGGGGTATTTCTACCCAAATTTTTCCTGCGAAAATAGTTAAAAGGATTCATATTAAATAAGGCTTACAATTAAATTTGTAGGGAAAACTTTCCTTTTTTATATTTCCCAATTTAAAATTTAAGACCAATTTAAAATTTATTTTGATTTTTTAAATATTTTTTTTTCTTTTCCAGTTATTTGTAATTTTGCTATAATTTGTGAATTATTTTTACTTTCATTATTTTCAACATTTTGGGTATCTCCACACAGAAACAATTTATTTGATCAATATATTCGACGAAGAACTAATTCAACATCTCCACACAGAAGCAGAACTTCTTCACTTCGTTCAGTTAAAGAAAGTAGAATTGACGAAGCAGAAACACCAACAACACCAACAATTAATAATGGAAGAAGTTTATCTATAAATGGAAATACACAAATATCTGGTGCAGCTACTACAACAACACAAACAACTGTTTTATTGGATTTGGATTGAAAATTTTTGATTTTAAATTTTTTGTAGAAGGTTTTTTAAAGGAATTTTTGAGAAAATTTTTTGGGGAAATTAAACCTTAGATTGATAGAAGACCTGTCTCTGTCTTTTCTGGGGGGTTTCCCTTGTTTCGTGTTTCTATGTTTTATAAAAAATAGTTCAGTAAAAATCATTCAGTTTTTCATGCCCTATAGGAGGCCTATTAAATTCGTAGGAAAAACTTTCCTTTTTCTTAAATATGTACATTCAAATAAAAATTTTATTGCAAGCTTTTATAAGAAAAAATCAAAAATCGAGCCTTATTCAAGGAAGTAAATTAAAAACTCAAAAATGAGTAGGAGAATGGAGCAATTTCCGGTTCTTACTCGGACCAAAGAAGGTTATCTGCATTGGTTGTGGATTTATTACAGATGCCCCTCCCTCGTGAAATATTCAAATTACTAATAATAATTAAGGTGAAGGGAAAGTGGGATGGTGTGTTGGCACCCGAATTCTTTATGAACCATATCCGCCTGAGCGAATTATTGGAAATGTTGATAATAAATTAAAGGACAGCTTTCTAGTAGCGGAGTTATATTGTTCAAACAATAGAGGTTTGATTTGAGGATTTGCCATTCTTGGGTAGCTTGCTGAAAATGGTCTTATTGTTGAGGTCGAGGAAACAGCTGAGAAGATTGCAGCAGCAAAGCAAATTGGCATATCAACTGTATTAGCTCCTAAAGAGATGGAAGAATTTTTGGATCCTATTAAAGACGAACTCAATGTTATTTACATTTTAATATTTTAGAAGCGTTGTCATATTTAGATTATTATAAATTTATTAAATTTATTTTTCTAGATTTTCTTTTTGTATTAATAAATTTATAATAATCTAAATATGACAACGCTTCTAAAATATTAAAATGTAAATAACATTGAGTTCGTCTTTAATAGGATCCAAAAATTCTTCCATCTCTTTAGGAGCTAATACAGTTGATATGCCAATTTGCTTTGCTGCTGCAATCTTCTCAGCTGTTTCCTCGACCTCAACAATAAGACCATTTTCAGCAAGCTACCCAAGAATGGCAAATCCTCAAATCAAACCTCTATTGTTTGAACAATATAACTCCGCTACTAGAAAGCTGTCCTTTAATTTATTATCAACATTTCCAATAATTCGCTCAGGCGGATATGGTTCATAAAGAATTCGGGTGCCAACACACCATCCCACTTTCCCTTCACCTTAATTATTATTAGTAATTTGAATATTTCACGAGGGAGGGGCATCTGTAATAAATCCACAACCAATGCAGATAACCTTCTTTGGTCCGAGTAAGAACCGGAAATTGCTCCATTCTCCTACTCATTTTTGAGTTTTTAATTTACTTCCTTGAATAAGGCTCGATTTTTGATTTTTTCTTATAAAAGCTTGCAATAAAATTTTTATTTGAATGTATTTTCTGCTCAAATGAGGGAAACTTTATTCCAACATCGGGAGAGAAGTTGTTTTAACTTCTTCCAACCCACGAAAATTTTTCTCAAAAATTCTTTAAAAATATATTTGGTTGATTTTCCAAGTTTTGTTTCCTTATGTGAATACTTTGTATTACATCTAAATATTCTTTTAATATGCATTTTTCATTTATATTTTAGAAAGAAATATATATTTTTATAACAATTTGTCACATATCAAAAATTTTAAAAATTGATAATTTCCAATTTCATTCCACTTCCTTCCCTATTATTTCATTCCTTCAATAAATGATTAGGGAAATAGTGAAATTGAGGAAGATGAGAGAATGACCATTTTAAGAGACTGGAAGGAAAGGAGGAATGAAACTGAAAATTACCAAAAAAAATATTTTTGGGATCAAATGTCGCCTTTAACTTTTTAATTATTAAATTTATTCATTTGCATTAAAGGAAAAGATATTTGTTCATCATTACTATTTGAATTTGTATTATTTTGTAAAATTAATTGAAATTTTTTATTATTTTCGTTGGAATCTTTTGTTTTTTGTAAACAACGACCTTCACTTTTAATAATTATTTTAAAATTACAATGAAGCAAACGATTTATTGTTTCTTTAAGCATTAAACGATAACGGCGAGAGACCAAACAATAAAGACAAAAATTTAATGAAGCATTTAGAAACACTAACTAAAAAAAAGAAATTTTTTTATAATGATAGGAAGTGTGTAGGCGTGTTTGATTAGGAGAGATTGTTTTAGCCTTTAAGGTAGGGGGGGGGGATTGGCTTGAAAGGAATTAAAATGTTTATAAAATAATTTTTTTAAGAAGTTCTGGTCAAGTCAATTTTCGAATAAAATGTAAATTTTCGCCTATTTTTGACGGAATACTTAGAAATATTTAAATAAAAATTCTGAAATTTTTAAATTTGATATTTACTGCTATTAAAGATGTTCCAACAAAATTTCAGACCTCTAGGTACTTTTTTGTCTACTTTATGAACGTTTGGACTAGCTCCTTGAAAACTAAAAAACTAGAGTGCGGCAAGAATCCCGTAATGGGATTTGTTTCACACTACCGTAAATCCCGTTCTCAAATTTACTGGGACCCCACCAGGATTCTGAGATTTTCACATAAAAATGAAACAATGACAGTAAAACAATCATGTGTATTTGTTTCGACGATTTTAAATATTTTCCCTTTCTGACCATTTTGATAGTCAATCCAGTGTAGAGATATCGTTATTTTTCAGCGTGTGGGCATTATTTCGCTCTTTGAAAGAAAACTAAGAGAACCCATTAAAGCAGAGAAATGAAAATATTTAAGGGAGTGTATAAATATTTGATGTTCTTACACTCTTTTCATTAAATTTTTTTTATTTTATGCAGCGTCTGAAATTTATCATTGTTTTTTGTTTGTATGTTTTGCTTTTGATGTAATGTCGGTTTAATTACCCAAGTTTAAGGTACAAATTGTATCCTGCCCTTGTAAAGGTGGCAGCTTGGATAAATTTTGGAATTGCCTTGCCTTTTGGTGAAGCTTAAATGATGTGTACAAAAAGAGTTTTTTAAAGTTTGGCGTCACATGAAGACATCATTCTCCCCAGACGGATAAAGCACATCTACAAGTTAAATAACACCTAAACTTTTAAAAGTTAAGCCATTTCACCAGGGATGTGCGCCATGGCGTTTGGCCAGATTTCATTTTATTTAAGGCCGGGATCATCCTAAAAACACCATTTCCAGAGTTATTAGCCACCCATTACATATCTAAGCTTAACATAGTCACTAATATCCTTAGGAAAGCGATTGGGTGCAGAGACTCTGCTCAAAACATTAACTCCACATGAAGCACTGGGAACGGGACACCAAAGAAAACTCATCAATCTTTTTGATATGCAAAAGAAAAAACCTATCAGGCTAAAAAAGTAAATAAGCTTGCAAAAAATAGGAAAATTAAATTCAAAATAATTTATTATAGAGTAGTGACAATTTTAAATATTTTCCCTTTCTGACCATTTTGTCCGTTTGTGCAGTGTAGAGATCTCGTTATTTTTCAGCGTGTGGGCATTTTTTCGCTTTTTGAAAGAAAACTAACGAGAACACATTAAAGCAGAGAAATGAAAATTTGCAAAAGAGTGTATAAATATTCGGTGTTCTTACACTCTTTTCTTTAAAATTTCTTTTATTTTATGCAGCGTCTAAAATTTATCAATGTTTTTTGTTTGTATGTTTTGCTTTTGCTGCAGTCGTCGGTTTAATTACCCAAGTTTGAGGTACTAATTGTAACCTGCCTTTCAAAGTGGCGACTTGGACAAATTTTGGAATTGCTTTGCCTTTTGGTGAGGCTTAAATTGTAACTAGGTCATGATGTTGGGTGTTTGACAAATTAAAATCACGTCGATTAAATCAAATTAGATGGATCTTCTTTCTTGGCACTTGAAATTTTAGGACGGGATTGCATAAAATTTTGTACAGATTCCCGTTCATTGCCGCACTCTAGTTTTAACCCAAACATTACTTCTCCCCCAATTCCCCCTCTTTCTTTTCAATTTACCTGTTGAGTAATGCAAGTATACAAAACAGAATTTAAATGATAAATTCCATGCCATTCATAAAGTAATCTGGCAGCAGCCTGTGGTCCTATACATACAAACAAAAGCAAAACTACAGCAAAAAGCATTGCATTAGCATTTGAATTATTACAATTATTTTGTTGATTTTCTTCTTTAATTTCTACAGGCAAAACTCTCTTTAAATTAAAAAATTTAATTCAGAATATCCTTTTTCCAAACAATTTGTTCATTATTTTCTTCACAATTTTGTTGTAAAAAGTTTGCAGAAACAGAAGAATCTCTTCTAACAATATGCCTCAGAGTTTGCATTAATTGAATATTTAAATAGGCAAGTAGGAGAATTGGGAATAAATTAAATATAAAAAGTGAAAACCAGTCCATTAAACGATAATATTTCTTGAAAAACGAAGAATTTTAATTTTAGTCAGATCTCAATTTTACAAGAACTCTTTAAATGAAATCTCTAGAAGTGTATCCATATTAGGGAAAAATATCCATATCGTATAGATGTCCATGTCACACATGCGGGAGTAACTTTTAAATATGTCTGCGAGAGTAACTCCCGCGGGAATAACCCCGAATTTTGAATTTCCGAAATCTCGCGCGGAATTGCGGGATTTTTCTCAATTTTGTATAGTATAGTAAGAAAATACTACTACTCTACCATTAAGGCAGATCTAAACCATTTAAGGGGGTCTGTACATAACCCCCCACCCCAAAAATTGAATTTTACAAATATAATTTAACCGAATCAAACGTGTCCGGTAGTCTCGTCAGAGGTTAGTTTCGTCAGAGAACATTTTCGTCAGAATTAGTTTCGTCAGCGGTCCCTCTCGTCAGAGGACACTTTCGTTAGAGGGTTGTTTCGTTAGAGATGAGTTTCGTCAGAGGTACTTTTCGTCAGTAAGGCTCCTTTTTAAAAATTTAATTAATCTGCTGTATTATGAAGTGTACTAGGTTATTTGTTTCTGGATCGATTTGGGCGAATCAGGGTCATTCAAAAGGACTCTGAAAAGCCGATTTTTGAGCTGAAAAATTCGAGTTAACAAATGATAACTCATTCAGATAAGAAAGTCGAGCTGACTTCAGCTCGACGAGCTGAGCCTTCCTATGGTTTATCAGGATTCAGGAGTATGTAACTCGGTCTCTGAATGTCGGATCAACTTATAAAACAACTGTTTCGACTCGGTTTTTAGAGCTCTTTCGAATGACACGCCATTTGTCAAAAGCGATCTAGAACCAAATAACCTAGTACAATTCATAATACCGCAGATTAGTTAAATTTTTAAAAAGGAGCCTTACTGGCGAAAAGTACCTCTGACGAAACTCATCTCTAACGAAACAACCCTCTAACGAAAGTGTCCTCTGACGAGAGGGACCGCTGACGAAACTAATTCTGACGAAAATGTCTTCTGACGAAACTAACCTCTGACGAGACTACAGAGTACCGAATCAAACATGGGCAACATGGATATACTTAAATAATTACAAATTTGAATTTTTATATATTAAGCAAAAATTGTATGTAAAATTGAAATACGACTGTAAAAATAATTTTATTTACATTCTCGAATAAATTCACTTAAATAGAAACAAAAACAATTAATTTACCTGTAATACCACAGATTCTTTAATTACAACAATTGAGTATTTTAATATTTTTGTTTTGTTGGCATTTAAACAATTATTTTCAATTTCCTCTTTTTCACAAGGCTCGTTACATTCTAATTCAAAAACACGCCACGCTACTGGCCATTGAATACTACATCTAAAAATAATTATACTTCTTTTGCTCCAATCTCCTTTCTATCTCCCGTATTCCCATATTCCCTTCCAATTTCCCAAACCTTCAAATATCCCGGACATTCCTAATCTACCGATACGGAATGTCGATAAATACCGAAAAATACGACCATAGTACAGTACGGTCCGGGCTCTAATTCCAACTTGGACATTCCCAGTTCCCGTTTTGAAAGTCCCCATTTTAAAACCCCCTTTTTAATTCAAACCCCTTACAGTAATCCAATAATCAAAGCCAAACCAACAACACAACCAGCTCTTTTTTCCAAAATTCCACTTCTATAAACCCATAGGGGTCTACAAACATACAAATAACGTTCAACATTAAAAGCAACAACAATTCTTTTTTTTAAAAGAAAATTATTTTAAAAAATTCCTTCTTAAATTTACAAAATTGAAGCCTTATAAAAAGCAGAAGCAAACATTCTAATAAATAAAACAAAACGAGTATGCACAGAAATAAGTAAATGTTGGCCATCTAAAGGTATTGGTAAAGAAAGCTCTAGAACAGCAAAAATTAAAAAAGCAGAGTCGAATAAAGCCAAGGCTAACAAAAAATGCCTGAGGGGAGAAAATTGAAAGAAATTAAAAAAGGTATTTTTGAGATTGTAGGGGAGAAAAATAGGGTTGGGGGCCGGTCCGGTCTGGAAGATCGAATAGGGCATCGAATTTTGGCCCGAAAAAGACTCGGTTGGCAGGCCCGATAAAAATGACTCGAACGTCGGTCCGACTCGAAAATCCCAATCCTAGGGAGGAAGGTCAATTTTTAACATATAAACAAGCAAATGAACTAATTCGGAATATTAAATAACAATTGACCATTTTGAAAAAAATTACCCAAAATGACCAAATAATAGTAATATGTTGACCGAAGGAAGACTTTTTTAAAAAATACCCAAACCCAAAAGATCATTTTAAAAACTGTCAAAACTTAAAAATATTGTGTATTTACCAAGAAGGCATCCTTCTCGCCAATTCAGTACTAACCAAAACTAAAATATTTAGCCCATTACAAAAAAGTCCAATTACAGCAATTATGGGTAAACAAACAGCATTTGTCCACCAAAGAATTGTTTGGAAATTCTTGGGAAATTTTTAAGGATTTTTTTACTCGTTTACCTGTTCATTGTCTTCAAATTGTGATTGAAAGGATAAACAAGAATTATCTTCTTCAAATTCTAAGGCAGCCAAGTCATTATTAGATGTATTAAAAATCATTTAATTTTTAGAAGTTTCATCAATAAAAATGGCCAAGTAATGCGCACGTTTTTCGGACAATTTTTCTCTTTTCCTTTATATTTTTAGAGTAAAGGAGAATTTATTTTTCTTATACTAGAGGAGTAGCCGTGATGGTTGACTGGACACAGAAAATATAAATAAAATATTTGTTTGAACAGTAACAATAAAAACACTCATCTCTCTTTTTCTTTAAAAATAATTTTATTTTTATCCAAAAAGAAAAAATTGATCAAAGTAAAAAGGAAAGAAAAAATAGGAAAGGTTTGAGAAAGAAAGACAAATTTTCCTCATTGTATAAAACTTTTGCTTACAGATTATTCTGAAAAGGACTTAACACTCCATACTATCACCAACCAAAAACCAATTTAAGCCTCACCAAAAGGCAAGGCAATTCCAAAATTTATCCAAGCTGCCACCTTTTAAAGGGCAGGATACAATTAGTACCTCAAACTTGGGTAATTAAACCGACATCTGCATCAAAAGCAAAACATACAAACAAAAAACAATGATAAATTTTAGACGCTGCATAAAATAAAGGAAATTTTAGAGAAAAGAGTGTAAGAACACCAAATATTTATACACTCTCTTAAACATTTTCGCTTCTCTGTTTTAATGGGTTCTCTTTTGTTCTCTTTCAAAAAGCGAAAAAATGCCCAAGCACTAAAAAATAACGAGATCTCTACTCTGCAAAGACGGACAAAATGGTCAGAAAGGGAAAATATTTAAAATTGTCACGACCATCGAGTTTTCATTCCTGAATAATCATTCAACATTTTTGATGGAAATGTTGAAAATACTTTAAATAATCCATCGTCTTCATCTCCAAAACCTCAAAGAATTCAAAAAGTTAACGTCTTGTCCTTATTTTTAGTTACCAGAATCATTAATTTAATTGTTCATCACTTTCCAGTATTCCTATTTCAAAAAACGTTTAAAAGAATTTTGATAGGGTTGACTTGTTGAATTAAATTGAATTAAGAAAACTCTTTATTGCTGTGACTTTCGTGACCGGACAATCCGTCAGTGGACAATCCGTCAGTGGTCGGACAATCCGTCAGTGGACAATCCGTCAGCGAACAAATTCGTGATTCTTACCTCTACCCGACATACCGCGGCCAAAAATTTTCATTTTTTCGTGTGGAGATTATAAGAGATATCGAAAATTTGGATATTAATGAGGAAATCGGCAAATTTGGCTGGATTAAAAGATCAGTGGATTTGGGAGATATCGGGGATTTCAAAGGATATCGTGGAACTAATGGAAATACAATAGATTTGGAGTATCATGGTGTTTATCGAGGAAATTGGGGATTAATTGGGATTTTGTGGATTAAGTGGGATATCAAGGGATATAGTCGGATTAAGAAGATTTGGAGGTTGTTCCATGATATCCATCTAAAAACCAGACTGGTGCACGGATACGGATAATATCCGGATATCCGCGGGTATCCGCGGATACGGACGGATATGGATAGTGTTTTTTTTAAAAATCGGACGGATACGGATGGATACGGATATGATGCTCCAAATCCGCGGATATCCGTCCCTATTTTTCCCTAATTTCTGCGATTAAACATCACTGATTAAATTTTAAAAATACATTTTGCCAAGAGAAAATAATTATATTCGCAATGGCAGAAGATAATTGAGTCTCGCACGTGACCCCAAACCCCGACAACAGTCAACCACGACCCCGGAACACGGCATGCCCTGACCGGCAAATCCTGTATCAACGATCACGAACCCGAGGGCTCGTGGAGCCCTGCTCAGTGCAAAAAATTTTAGAATTTTGAAAAGCCAAGAAACCAGATTTCATCCTTTTCCAGCGCCGCAGGCGAAAATTTTGAGAATTTTAGAAGGCCATAAGCCAAAAAAATTAACTTTTAGCTGAGCAAACAAAAATTTCAGAATTTTGAGGTCCGAAAACCTATACCAGGCTCATAACCAGAGAGGGAGGGAGGGAGGGGGAGTTCCCCATTCCCTCTCGAAATGGGGAATAGGGATAAATTTGATGAGGAGATATGGCAAAAAAGTGAATTTTTTGGCCTATGGCCTTCTAATATTATCAAAATTTTCGCCTGCGGCGCTAAAAATGAAAGATTTTTTGCTTCATGTTCTTCCAAAATTCTCAAAATTTTCGCCTGCGGCGCTGAAATCAACTGGTCAGTTAACCGAGATTTTCATTTCGGCCCGAAATCGGGAATTTAAATTTTCAAAAATTCTAAAAAATTTTCAAAATTTTATTTTTTTCTCGGTATGATCCCTGAGTTGGATCAGAATTCCGATCTCTGCCAGCAGATTTTCGAACCTCCGATGTTCATAAGCAAGGTTCGTTTTGCTGCATGTAGTTATTACAGCATTATCTAACCATTACTCGAATTAAAATAAATTTGACCATTTTGAAAATTTTAGCTAGGCTGACCATTTTGAGAAAAAACGGATATATCCGCGGATATCCGCGGATGGATATGACTCAAAAGTTGGACGGATACAAACGGATACGGATATTGACCCCACGGATATATCCGGATACGGATAGCAAAATCCGTATCCATGCACCAGTCTGCTAAAAACAACCTCTCGTATTTGAGGACTTCCCATAATCCCACGATATTCATCCGAATCCAATATAATTCTACACGTTAATTATGTAATCTAATCCATCCAAATCCCCGAATCCTTCTAAATCCATCAAAAAATTTCACGCGGTAGGTCGGGTAGAGGTAAGAATCACGAATTTGTTCGCTGCCGGATTGTCCACTGACGGATTGTCCGACCACTGACGGATTGTCCACTGACGGATTGTCCGGGAGCCGTGACTTTTCTGGTAGACCACCAACATTGACTATCTTTGAAACTTTAATTCTTTGATCTTTGCTACCAATTAATCGCTTGTAGGGGTTAATTGCTAGAAACCTTAACATTGTTAGAAACTAATTCTTTAATTATTGCCAATTAATCGCTTGTCCTGGGGTCTCTCAGACAAAATACGATTTCCAATATCTGTAATCAAACCAACACACCCCAACATAGCCACACAACATTTACCAGGAAAAACGTTCTGATTCTTTAAGCCTCGCCAAAAGGCAAAGCAATTCCAAAATTTATCCAAGCTGCCACCTTTACAAGGGCATGATACAATTAGTACCTCAAACTTGGGTAATTAAACCGACGACTTACACAAAAGCAGAATATACAGGCAAAAAACAATGATAAATTTCAGACGCTGCATAAAATAAAAGATATTTTAAAGAAAAGAGAGTAAGAACATAAAATATTTATACACTCACTTAAACATTTTCATTTCTCTGCTTTAATGGGTTCTCTTTAGTTTTCTCTCAAAGAGCGAAAAAATGCCCACACGCTGAAAAATAACAAAATCTCTACATTCTACAGACGGTCAAAATGGTCAGAAAGGGGAAATATTTAAATTCGTCACAAGGAGTGACAGTCTTCCAATTTTTTAAAGAAAGGTTTAAAAAAATTTTTTTTTTAATTTTTAAAAAATTTTATTTACAAAAAATATTATTCAAATAAATAATTTAACATTCTTATCATTTTATCAATTTTTTTCAATTTTATTTTCCTCCACACCCATTATTATTCTTTTCAATAACAGCAATTCTAACAGTCAACAATTGACTAACAATTAACATATCTGCAGAATAATCATCTCTTTCTCCAGCCAAATCTGTATTTAATAATTCTGTTGCATAATTTGCATTTTTAAATTCATTATTATTTTTATTTAATTCTTTAAATATATTTATTTCCCCATTTTCGACACACAAAGGGATTGCACAAAATTGTCTGGCTAAATGCCCGACACGTGGAAATCTTTCTATATTTGTTCTCCACCACAATAATAATTCACTTAATGATTGGTGTTGTTGTTGTTGTTGTTGTTGATTATCTACTTCGTTATTTTTGCGTAATTCATTTAATGATGCTTCCACATAACTATTTACTTCTGCCTGTAAAAAATAATTTTTTAACTTTGAGATAACTATATCAATTTTAAAATAATCTAGAAAGCGGCCGGGGAATCTCGTATCGATTCTGCATTACGATACTGATATCACGAAAAGTCCCGAAAAGATTAAAAATGTCATCGTCTATCAATCTCAATAACTTAGATTTTTGTTCGAGATGTCCGGTATTTAACTTCTCTAATATACCATTTAAATAGAACATGCCATTCCATTGGAACAATAATTCTATTAGAAATATGATAAATGGACAACCCAAAACAAGTCCCCAATTCTTCACCATTACCCCAAAACACTCTAATGTTGCCAATAATCTTAAAAACTCTAAAAGGCAAAGTTACTGTTCCCAATATTTCTTTAATTGTCCAAAATATTTAAATTCCTTTTTGGTAGGGTGTTGTTAGTTCAAAACCGATCGGTTCGATTCTTCAATTTATTTA